CTACATTATTTTCGAGTCAGACCTTTAGACTTGATTGTTAGTAATCAACACACCCATCAATCGAGACCTGTGAAAATATAATCCAACCGTTTGACATCATTGCCCGAGATTTATTAAATGTCAAAACCTAACAAATATTCACCTTGATACCTAATCAACCTACAAGCAACCTAAGTACAAAATTTATACTTGCATAATCAAGACAATCAAATAAAATTGAAATCACAAACTTTACCTCATGTTTTGAACTCGAAACACATACGATACCTACTCTATGTACTCACTAGAGCTCGAGTAAAAAATACCTAATTAGAAAACAAATAATCACGATAATCAATCAAGAGCATATAAACATGCAATGAATATATAACATAGGATAATACAAAGATATTTTCAAACATGTTCACAAGGAACCCTAAATTAACATCAAGTTAATCAATCAAATGGCTAAACACACATGTAACAAATAAATAAATGGCCTCATGAAAAGATCTCACAACATTTATCCTATCACATTCCGTATTGCTCGCACATCAAGAACACATATCTTCTCTCATTACCCATTATGCTCACTAGATTGATCACTAACATATGTCTAACGGGTAAGCTATCCTAAATCCATGGGATAATCCTTTATTGCTATCGGGGATTTCAACGAGCCGAGCCGAATCGAGCCAAGAAGCTTATGAGCTGAAATTCGACGCTCGAGCTCGGCTCGGACCTTTTCGAGCTGAGCCGGGCAGGGCTCGATTTTGGTTTTAGTATTTTTTTTATCTAAAGTTAAAAAAGGCAGTAGCCTACTGCCTTATTTCAAATAAGACAGCAGGTTGTTGACTAAACAAGGTAGCAACTAGCAAGCCTATCAGGCAGTAACGCGCTGCCTGAAAAATGTTAATATTTTTTTAAATATAGGCTCGTGAGCTCAAGCCGACGAGCCACAAGGGTTGACTCGGGCCTTGCCCGGCACCCTAAAAGGGGCTCGGCCAAAGTCGACTCGGGCTTTTTCGGGCTGAGCTACGGACGGCCCAAGTCGACGAGCCTGATTGCCATCCTTAATTACTACCTTACTTCCCTCAAACTAAGTGGATAATGAGTCTTCACCTGATAGAAATGACATTCTCACACTCCACCTGATCATGGTTTTAATAGATAGAGGATTCCAAATATTTAACCACCCATTTAATTGTGATTTAAATGTCATCCTCTACTTTCCCTGTGCATATCACTAATGCACCACTAGTTGTAAAATAATTGGTGTTGATTTGCAACCACATTGAATAAAAATCAATTATGGAAAATAATTGAAGTTGAAACAAGTTCATATTCTTCTTTTGCGCTTCTATCAAATTAATGGAAAATTTGCCAATTTATGGTTTTTGAAACTTTTCGTTGGATTAAAATCCCTCAATCTTTTGTTATCAAATTGAAAATTTTCAATTCCTAATGAAAAGTAATTTTGAAAAATAGAACAATTAAAAAATGCACAATTAGGTTACACAAAGTAATCCTAAGGTCACATTATATGCCATTTTAGGTTTCCAATGTTTCGTGAGATTTAAGATCTCAATATGAAGGAAATGATCAAACAGGTCAAGTCCAGTTACTCTGATGGAATAATCAATACAACACGAAGGCATATCAATAAAAATTCAATTTCTCACATGGTGATTTAATGGTAATTAAACACAGAAGCAATTACCAACTTGCAATTAAATCCAAAGCTTCAATTCAGGCAAATAATTCATAAATTCTAGCACAAGCAATGATTATCCCACACAGTAACCCCAATTCTAATGTCACCCTACACGATAATTTGCTACTATTGGAATTTAAAACAGGTAAGTCGATATACCAAAGCTGGCCAAGTTTGAGGGTTCGTAAAAATTGAGAAATGTGAACTTACCAATATTCGCCCTAAAGCCTTCAGCGATTGCGACAACTAATCAAGTATAATCGAATTCCCAACTGTGAAAAGGGCAAAATCTTCTAAAATCATAATTTCATCAGAACTAGAAATTGAACACACCACCACTGTGTTTGCCTAATTGTCTAAAGCAAACTGCCTGTTTAGACTTTCTTCGAAGAACCACGAGCTTTCTACCAAGTCTTGCCACGCGCCACTCATCCAAGCACACCTCCACCTGCACATATAAAATTCAGCCTTCGTTTCATCGAACTCTTTTTGGTTTGGTTGAAAAACTCAATGTAGGTCCAATTTTGTAAAAAAATATGGACAGAACTTTTGATCTTGTTTTTGTTGATTTTCATTTTCGTTTTTAGTTGATTTTTGGTTGAAAATCCAACACCTAGGAGCTTTGTTACGGAAGCTCGCTCCAAGATCTTCGATCGATAATCTTCAGGCCCAATTTAATGTTAGATTTCTGTACCAACAACCAATCTAAACTGCTCAACCTACAACCAATATATTCACCTCGATTGTTTTCAATCTCATCCATAAAATACAAGATAATTGTTGTTGATTTGTAGTCACAAAGACAAAGAGAAAACCAAAGAAGACAAGGCACAAAAATGAAAAAGATGACAAAGGGGTAGCCACCGTTTTCTAAGCAAAAAGCAAGCAACCGATTCTCTCTTTTCTTCATAATCATAGACACAAAATGGCGGGCCGCAAGCAACTTATATATAGGAATCGGTTCTAATCGGGCTAAGAAGGGTTAAATGGGCAAAGATTCAAGAGCCTTTTAATAGGTGAATATATGGATCGTGAGCAACATTAATTTCTTAAGTTACTTCCAACAGTCTACTTTATTTTCGGGATTAGGCTTTTAGACTTGGTTGTTAGTAATCAATTCACCCGTCGGTCGAGAGACTCGTGAAAATATAATCTGACTGTTTAAATCATCATCCGAAATTTATTGAATATCAAAACCCAACACTTACAAAACCAAGAAAGTAGACAAGAGTCAAGAAGATACAGAATAGAGAATCTATCTATTGATAAACTAATACTTCTTTTCTTCTTTTCGCTTTTTGTTCGCTATAAAGTGCAAACCTCAAGTGCACGAGTAGCGTTCACATAAGAAAGTGGACTTTTTGAATCTGAGTTATTGATCCCTTGAGAAATGTTTACTTTCAATTACATAATTTTAATCAATTTAATTTTAACAATGAAAAAAAAACTTAATTAAGATTTTGATTTTGAAAATAGGGGAAAATAATTAAAAATCTACAAATAAGAAAACATGACACTCGAAAATTTCAAAGGAAAAAAAGTTGGAATTCATGGTTTCGCTTAACCGTTGTTTAATCAATTTCTCTTCAAGCCAATTAACAAATTACTTATTTATGATGCTATACCCAATTTTTAAATTTTACTTGATTACATTTCTCAAGCGAAATTAACCATGATTGCTTAGTTTAATCTACTATACCTCTATGTCGATTAAACCAACAACTGCATTAAATATTTGTGAAAATTTAAAGCGCATAATTTTTCTCGAACGATGTATAAATCACTAAACATAATTATTCATTGACCACGTAAATGAAAATGCAATAAATACAATATTAGATACATATGGAAATAAAAAATAAAAATTCATTAAAAAGCAAATAATGAAATCAATTAAAGTTAGGTTATATTACTACGATAAATGTCAACACGGATATTTTACTCATGTCAAAAAATTAATAAAAAGAAGAATATTTCATCTAATACATTGCAAGTAGGAGATAATAATGGAGAAAATACAAGACTAAAGATACAAACTCCTTTTTGTTGGATATTTGAAAATGTTAATGGCTTGAACATGATTTTCCCAAAATATTTCTCTACCTTCCTTGAGGTAATCTTCTTGTATGCTCTATAATTTTTCATTCTAAGTCCCCGTTTCGCCCCATTCTCATTCTTTTTATCTCTCTTATTTTCAATCACACAATATTTCATAAAATAATATTACACGCAAATAAAAAAAAATTCATTCTTTTTCAACCACATATTTTTCAAAAAAATACAATTTCAACAATTAAAATTTGGAAATAATGGGGGCCAAATGAGGGCTGAGTTTCCTAAATAATTGTACGTTAGGTTCCTCAACTTTGATTTTGTAGAATGTGATTCTCAGATTTTAACTTTCATATTAATCATTCCCTTCATAAGTTGCATCCCAAGTCCTCCAACTTTTGCCCTTGTGCAATTTGGTCCCTAACTTCATGTTTTTGCACGCTTTTGGTCTAGTTTCTCTTCTTTTTTCCTTATTCTCTCTCTATTTGGGGTTTTTGACCTACAAAACCAAAATTATCCAATTGTAAGTCAATATCCACTCTTTTCATCAATAATAAGCATATTTAGGTATTAAATAAGTATGCAAAAATACACATTACTCTTTGTGAGGATATGGTTCACCTAACCCCACCCAATGTTGTGATTTGATGGGAGTGAGGTTGACACAATAAGGTCTTCCACGTTTTGGCAGAGGCATGGTCTTCCTACCTTCCCCTTCAGATGTACTCTCTACCATTTAAATAGAAGGAGGAGCTCTTGGTCTCTAGGAATTCCCAGCAGAAGGAGGAGCTCTCCGTTTTCATAGAAAAGGGTGGCGGTTCTTCATTGGTTTTTTCCCCTCTCTCTTTGGAAGGCAATTGGCATAGCATGGGGCTGTTCCTGAGCCTGGAAAAACACCCATAAATCGAAGAAGAAGCTGCTGAAACGAGGGAGGAAAGCTGGACAGATTTAGGCCAAGAAGGGGTTGTATTCTTCCGGTTCTATTTTTCTTGTTTTTGCCTTGAATCTTGTTTGTTGATTGTTGTTTTGGTTGATTGAACTCCTAGGATCCCCAACACTCTTCTTGCTTGAAACTTTTGAAAAAAGCATTTTAATAGCCTTTGCAGCTCTTTCCGTTCTGTTTACTTGTTGGCAGCATACTTTCAGTTAAATCGGGAGAATGGAGGGGAAAAATAAATTCTGGTGCTTTAGAAAGATACCGTATGTAATGAACTTGGAAAGTAAAAATATCAATCCATTTTACAAATAAAAGCAGTAGAACAATTTTTGAAAGTGAATTATCCAAAAAATTACAAACGAAAAAAGGTTGGAATTTTTTAATACAATATATGCAGCCACTCCAGTACACCAAAAGCCATGTTGTTTGTACAAATACTCCTTGAAGTTTTATGAAATAATACAAACGAACGTATAAGACTGTAGACAACTATATATAACTGGACAATAACTTACAACCACATTATTTACAATAATGGAGGTTTAATATTTGAATTCCTGTGAAGAACAGAAATTACAGACGATTTAAGTCCATTAACCTTCAACTGTGACTTCACCAGCCAAAGCCTCTGGCATTGATGCAGCCAGAGATGATCCATTGTTAGAAGAATTCATTTCGGGACTCTTTTCTATAGCATCTTCGAGTTCAGGGTGACAAACAGGTTGACTCGAGATTTCTTCCAAGTTCTGTGCACAAGTTTTCTCATCTTGAGCCTCGGCTTCTGCATTTTTTGCTTGTACTTTGCTTGGCTTTTCTCGAGAATGCGACTTGGGTTGAGAGTTTTTGACAGACTTCTTGACAGCAGCATTACCCTTGACACCATTTGCCTTGGGAGTCAACTTTGGTGAGTTGCCATTAGTGATTCGTGGGCTAAGACATGATCCTCCATTTTCGAGGGAGTTGCTAACTGTGGAGACAGTTCCTTTGTTCCTTCCAAGCATAGGAGATATAGGACGTGTAGTCGGTATCTGTACAAATAAGAACAACAAAATATCATATAATGTGAAAAATTAGAAGTCGAGAAGAGCAAAGATTGTTTGAACAACTAGCCCATGCTTGTTTAACAGCACTAGACACCAGAATAAACCAGTTTTTTGGTTTTTTTTCTTCCTTAATATTGTCAAGTGCTATCCATCCAGTCCTCACCACTGAACATGCCACGAATCTTTAACTTACTATATTTTCAAGTAATTGTTATAGCATAGAGAGTCCTATATTGTGCACGTGATTAACAAAAGATGTATATTCTTTAACACAATTTGCCAGAAAATCTAATATGCTCAAGCTTCTAAATTGAGGAGGTAGAAAAAATATTCTGTAAACATAATCTAAGGTCTCAGATAAAATTGAACTACAGTCGAACCATTTTGATCGAGACACCTAGTATGCACCACAGTAACTTTGTTAACAGACAATTGGATCAAAATCTTAAAATTCAGAACTCTAAGCTTAAATATCGCAGTCGAATTGTTGGTGCTTGCATTCTAAACGTTGAGAGGAAACTTTAAAGAGTCCATAGTCAAACATTTAACAGCAAAGAGCATCATATATTTAACAAGAGAGATATTCCTACGTATCAAGTCAACAATATTAACACAAAAATAGTGTCTGCGTATATGACATTTTCATGCCACTCTTTGTGTTACTGGATGATATACTTGAACTTATTATGGTATCATGCATATATCAAAAGCAGCACTATAATCATGAACGATGTAAACATGCAATGAACTGTTCATTTAATCCCCAATTTAAATTTAATAAAAGTTGAGATGGTAACTCAAATCACCAGAGAGAATCACTTACCCAAGAGAAGTCAATAGATTTACCACTAATTATTTTATAACCAAACTTAGTGCAATGAAATAAAAACCTATGAAGTTGGGATAACAGAAAGATCATGTACAATTTTTATAAATTCCACACTGCCAAAAAATAATACTATTTCAACAAGCTTCTAGAGATAAAATGGCTTTGCTCCATGAAAATAGAGAAATAATTTCTTTTCTTTTAAGTTCAACATAACATATGACCACCTCTATTATCAGAAATGCAAATAAATGCAAGATCTCACTATATCAATAAGAACTACAAGATATGAAAAGAAAGGACCATATAGATACCACATGTAATCATAAGTTTATGGTGCAGCGGAATAACTGAGATTAGGAATCTTGTACCTTCCAAGCATACATTACGAGCATTTAAGAAGATATACAGATTTTACCTTCTTCAGTTCAAATTTTGGAGGGGGTGCTTTATAGAAACTTGGCATGGGAGTAGCTTTAAATGTCAAGCTCTTCCTAAGTTGCTTTATTTCTGCCTCTTGGTTTTCCTACAACAAATCCAGAAGACTAAAACAGAGTGAATAAGCTGAATTAGGTCCAGAAGTCTTCTAAGTCGACAAACCACCAGAAATCATATTCTTCTTTGTAAGATATTTCCAACACCTTCGATTTTTCTTGCAAGTTAGTCTTTTCCACTTCCTTTGCATGTATTTTCTCCTCTATCTTCGAAAAAAACTGTCCGAAAAAGTGAACATTTAATTATAAGATGGACTAATAATCAGAGATGTAAGAAAGTAGAAACTAATTGCATGTTTAGTAGTGACATTTGGATATAATTGGACAGTATCATAAACATGATTTCAGTTTCTTTTTCTTCATTAGTACTGTCTAGTACTAATGAATATTACCTACTAAACATGCCATAAAGGTGAACGTGCAGTGTCTACCTCTTTCCTCTTTTCAGCACGTTCCTCCAACCTAAAGGAGAATGCTGTAACATTAACCATACGCTGCGTCGGAGGAGTTGCATTTCTGATTGAAGTACAAACTTGTCATAAGCATGTAAACTCAACCAAAAATAAAAAATAAAAAAATCCAGAAGAAGTTGCATGAGAATGCAAACAAAGAAGAAAACAAATCTGAAGTCTAAGAGGTGAAAATACAATGTAGTAGAATGAGAATCTTCTTCATCCTTAACAAGCAATTTAGTGTGGGTGGATTTTGAATTCGGTTCAACCAATCTGTAATTCCAACATTTAAATTGTCAATAAGAAATTCGACTCGTCATAACATAGTGGAATATGTAAGTAGACAGAACATAATACTTACGCATCAGGTGCAATATTCATTACAGTGTCATTTGCAGAATGATTTTTCACAGACTGAAATCAACACACATTCAAACGTCATTCCAAAACTGGTGTATAGTATAGAGAGAAAAGAAGGAAGAAAGAAATGACTACTCTAAAAAGAGAGAACAGTCACCAGAGATTGAGTAATGCTTGGCATAGAGGCTATAGTCGTTCGTCGGTTGGCTGCCTTGCCTCCATTTTTCACACCCTTTGAGGCTAGATTGGAACGCGAACCTGAATTGACTGTACCATTAGAAACTTGGGAGTCAACTTTTGCACCATTTTTATGAGCATCCTGCTTAACTGGGTACACATCAATGCTCTTTCTCATAACATCAGAGTGACAGCCTCCGGCTGGGAATGAAATACTTTGAGTCAAGCTTGGCTTTGCCTTGCGCACGAGCACATTCGAGCCTCGTGAATTGGATTGATTCTTGGCTGCTTTACAGTTCTTTAGGCCACCGTCATTTGAAGCTTTACACTTTGTAATGGTTTCGGACAATTCAACCTCTGCCCCATATGAATCAACTTCTTTTTCCTCCTTAAGATTTTCACTCACTTCATTTCCAACAGAAAAGTCTTTGCTTATACCGATCTTCCCTTTTTCATTGTCTACATCCAGAACTGATTCTTCCCCATTAATTTTCTGAACAACATCTCGTTTTTCATCTTTATCTGGAACCCCACTTTCAGACTCCATTTCATAAAGTACCTTAAACAATCCAAAAAAATTACCCAAAGAATTTTAGTTGACTGGTAATTTCAGACAAATTACACCAATTTTATCTCAATTACTGGGAAAACAAAGAAACCCCAGAAGTCATTTCAGTTTCTAGATTCCTAATGAAGATAGTTGTTCAAGATCAGTCGTCGACACTGTTCTTCAACATCACATTTCCTCAACAACCAAACAGAGCATAAGAATATATTATCAAGAAACTTAAAAACATATATATCAGTGATAGACTAATATCATAAACATAACCCACAAAAAACTCGAAATAAATCAAAGATCCCCCAAATTCAGTAAGTAAAATTAAGGCAAAAACAAAGCACACAACAGTGATCATGACAAAGTTATAAAAACTGCTAAAAAGAACTCAGACAAACCCAGGTGAACAGTACCTTGTATAATGTTTCTGGATTTTTGGAGTAAACAGCAAATTATGTGCTTGAAATTTGAAGGATGCTCCTTCAAAAGTTGGTGTCTACTGTCTTGTGTGGTACGACTGATAGAGAAAGAAGGAGATTTCAAAAAAGGTTGAACCCCAACCTTAGGGGCCCCCACCGACCCTGCCCTGAGCCATTGTGGAGGAGGTAAATCGCAGGATGTGCCTCCCAGGAGCCAGGGTGGAGAGCACATGGATAGGCCAAGGCTATTAACCCATATGGTAACTCCCGCTTGCAACAAAGCCAATTCCACCTTGCGGGGAATCGAACTCTGCACACTGCCGCGCTGAGCCCTATCCGCCCTCCCCTTTGCCACTGGGAGATATGCCCTGGGGGCTACAGGAAGGAGATTTCTCTTTCATGGAGAGTGTTGAAAAGAAGATGAATTTTAAAAATTAAATGAATAGATTCATGGGCACTTCTATTCAAATGACCAAACTGCCACTCCTTGGATAATGATATGAATTGAGTTTTTTACGCAAAATAAATCTATTTGATGGAAATTAGTTTTTTTATTATTTAAATAATTGATCAAGATTAAAAAACTAATTTTTAACATATTTATACATTGAATTGATCATGATCATTGACAAATTTGATCGTGTTCATTGACAAATTTTATTATACAATATTTTTCTACTCAGATAATGCGTAATGAACTAAAAAAATGATTATGATGATTGAAAAGAGTATTTAAAGTTGATTTTATTGATTGTGTTGTATGTTGCTTGATGACATATTTGCAGTGGATTAAGAAAATGTCAAAACATATATGTTGACATTTTATTAGATATGGTGAAGGTAATTTATTTATGTTATGTGACGATTTTTTTTTTTGAGATGTTATGGGTAAATTGAGCACAATTGAAATCTAAGGTTTGAGTTTAATTTTAATGAGTACATGGATATGAATAATTTTATTTACAAAATATTCGAAGTGTAATAGATGATATATAGTATTGAAATATTTGTACCGATCTACTTGACGTCCAAACCTAATGGAAGTGCAAAAGGTAAGTCCAATTTGACAGGAAGGCAAGTTGTAACAGATATACCTCTTTAAGCATGTCTTTTACGCAAACATTTTTTTTCATTTATTTAGTAATTTAATTAAACGTAATTTAAAAAAGTTATTGAGTTAGGTGGTTTGCCTACTTTCTAATGGAATTATCTACTTGTACATAATTTTTTTGCCTATTTTGTTGACAGAAGCAGTGTTGGCAAACTGTGATTGGTTGCCAAATCCTTTTTATTTTTTTATTTTTTTGGATAGAAAACAATGGCAAAATACTGTGTAACATTTTGACAAAGAGCACGTATGGATTTTCTGTACACAGAGCAAGTTATAATGCTAGCTCATTAAATGTCATATTGTATATCATTTTAATTAGTCTATCA